ACCAACAAAGCTCCTTATTTCTTGACACATTAGTAGGTCTTACCCAATTCTTCACTGTCTCAATCTTAGAAGAATCCACCATCACCCCATCCTTAGAAATCACATGCCCCAAGAAGGACACTGCATCTAGCCAAAACTCACACTTGGAGAATTTGGCATAAAGCTGTTTCTCCCTCAACATTTCCAATACAACTCTCAAGTGATCCTCATGTTCCTTCTTGCTCTTTGAGTATACAGATATATCATCAATAAATACGATCACAAAGAGATCAAGATATGGCTTAAAAATCGCATTCATCAAGCTCATGAAAGCAGCAGGGGCATTCGTAAGCCCAAAAGACATTACTAAGAACTCATAATTCCCACACCTGGTCCGAAAAGCAGTCTTGGGCACATCTGCTGCCCGTATTTTCAATTGATGATAACCAGATCTCAAGTCGATTTTTGAGAAGGTACAAGCACCTTGTAACTTATCGAACAAATCATCAATGCGAGGAAGAGGATACTTGTTCTTAACCGTTACCTTATTTAGTTGTCTGTAATCTATGCACTTCCTAAAACTTCCATCCTTCTTCTTCACAAAAAAAACCGGAGCACCCCAAGGGGATGCACTTTGTCTAATGAAGCCTTTGATCAACAACTCTTGCAGTTGAGCCTTTAACTCTCTTAACTCCGCAGGAGCCATTCCATAAGGGGGTATAGAAATGGGGCGAGGACTCGGTTCAAGATCAATGCAGATGTCAATATCCCTATCTGGTAGCATACCAGGAAGATCTGCAGGGAACACATCCGGAAACTCACGGACTACCGAAACCGACTCAATTGAAGGTACTTGGGTAGTGTCATCCCTGAGGTGTGCTAAGAAAGCTAAACACCCTTTACTAACCATTCTCTTAGCACGAAGAAAGGAGATGATACGAACCGGATTGGAAGTGTAGTCACCCTCCCACACTAACGGAGTAGAAACACGAATAGGCATCTCTACATAAGTATTGCTCCCCACAAAATTCACAAGACAAGACCTATACACCTTTTCAACTATCACAGACTCACCCACCGGAGTAGAAACACGAATAGGCATGTCACACAATTCACAATGTAAATTAAGACCCTTAGCAAATGAGGAAGATACATATGAAAATGTAGAGCCAGGGTCAAATAATACAGAAGCCATACAATCACAAACCAAAAGATTACCTGTGATAATAGTATCTGATTTCTCTGGTTCTGACCGCCCGGGGAAAGCGTAACAATGGGCCCTATCACCTGTCTGTTCGTTGCCTCTACCAGGTTGCGCTGCAGCAGTACCCATTTGTCCGTCACCCCGGCCGTTTTGGTGACCACCATTACCTCGGCCACCACGCCCTCCAGAATGACGGCCTCTTCCATGACCACCTCTACCTCTGACTATTTGAGGTTTGTAACTCTGTTTTGGACAATACCTCTTAATGTGTCTAGTCTCCCCACATCCATAACATTCTCTGGATTCAAGCATATGTCTCTCAGAGAAGTGTTGACCGGTCTGAGATGGACCCCCAATTACAATCTGTAGTGAAGACTGAATTGGTCGGACTGAGTAACCTCCTGAACCCTGTCCTCTAGAGTAAGAACCATTAAACTCACCTCCACTTCGAAACCTTTTTGATGTCGATTCCATGTGAAGTCATCTGGATTCACTCCTTCTACCTCTATCACGAAGTCTACCACTTCTTGAAAGGATTTTGCTGTAGCCGCTACCTGTAAGGCTGAAATCTGCAATTCTGACCTCAACCCCTTCCAAAACGGCGAATCCGCTCTTGTGGACTGAAACAAAGTTGGGTGGATTACCTGGATAATGCATGAAACATAGCCTCATGTGCAGTAACCGACATCCTACCTTGCTCTAGGCTCAAGAACTCATCTCTTTTCCTATGCCTCAAAGTCCGAGCGATATACTTCTCCATAAACAAGCTAGAGATTGATGCCCAAGTCATAGGTGGTGCCTCTGTTGGTTGCCACTCAACATGTGACCGCCACCACATTTTGGCGTTCCCCTTGAAACTTATAAGTCACAAACTCAACACCAAACCGTTCTACTATACCCATCTTGTGTAGTAGCTCATGACAGTCAACCAGAAAATCGTAGGCATCCTCAGATTCAGCACCCTTGAAGACTGGAGGTTTCAATTTCAAGATCTTACTGAAAAGTTCATGCTGATCATTTGTCATTATAGGCCCTGTAGTCAGACGAGGAAACGTGCCTATTTCCAATGAGGCATCCATGCGGGGAGCCACAGTAGCTGCATTTTGTACCTTCGGAACCTGAGGTGCTGGTGCAGAAAACAGTGGAGGTGTCAGGCCCTGATCAGATAACCCGCTAAAATAATCAAGAACCTGATTGATCATCTCTGGGGTAGGTTGGGGTGGAAATCCCTCATTCTGTACTTGTTCATTCTCCCCTTCTCACCCTCTCTTACTACATCCTCAGTCGGTGGAGGAGTCACCGCCCTAGTATGAAATGGGCTAGGTGATTGTCCTCTTCCTCTAGAGGATGTCCTCCTACGACCTCTACTACGGCCTCTTTCCACTGTTCCTCTTTGAGCTACAGTCTCAGTGGCTGGCTCAGACGCCTCTTGTCTTGCTGGTGCTGGTGTTGGCGCGATTGTTGCTCTAGATCTAACCATCTGCGAAATAGAGTGAAGATGGTCAGATACCAATTTGTATCACCTAGATACCAATTGGACCCAAGTAATAGCACGAAAAGAAAGAAAGAAGGAATGGAATTTTCCTAAAGTCTTATAGCCTCTCAAAGAGGAGTAAAGGCGTCCCCCTACCGTTCCTTAAGACTCTACTAGACTCGTTCTTGTGTGATGAGACCAACGAACCTAATGCTCTGATACCAAGTTTGTCAGGACCCAAAGCAGGTCGCGAGTTGCACCCACACATATCTGTTGCTTTCCCTCCTGGCAAGTGACTTAAAGAAAAGAAGTGAAGTAAGCTCCCCCCGATACAAGCGAGCTAAGGGGCTTGAAGTTATCCCAATACCAGAGCGACACTTCACAGAGTGTGATACTAATGGTTAGGGGGGTGGTAGTAACCCAACTGCAAGCACATGAACTCGCTATACCAATAGTTCTCTGCCCGCAACCCCAGCTCCTACTTCAAATGATAGAACGATTCGAAAGAGGCATACGTACGGCTTTGACTAAACAACTAACTAAGGCTAACGGAATAACAGAATCGGAAGCAGACGTAATCGAAAGAAAGCTTGGGCCGAATGGAAGGGGCTTGCAACGATGGAAGGCTTACGGGATAGGGGCATACTCATATATTTCCAAACAAAATCAATTGGGGTGATAGACCCGCGAAGCAAAAGCTTTTTTCCTAGCATTGAACCTTACTTCAAAGACTGCAAAGCTTACAACACAGGTAATAGAGCGAAGCCTTGGGCTGATAAACTGATTGAAGGCAGACCAAGAGCATTACCTACGAGGATTTATTAGGATGGCTTAAAGATTTATTCGGTCTTTTCCTCAAAGGCGGATACGATTTAATTAGCTTTGGACTACGAGAGAGCTAGACAACGGGGATGAAGGGTTTGCGAGGAAGAATCAATTGCCAATGGTTCTACAACTGCAACAGCACTTACTGAAAAGACTACTCTACGACCAGCCGCCTACTTAATTACACTTCCGGCATGGCATTAAGCCAGTTCCTTCTTCTACGAATATGAGATAGACCGACAGCCGGTACGAGACTAAGGGACTATGGGAATAGCGATAGACCGGATTCAAAGATATAGGCCAATCAAAACAAAAGGAAGATGGTGAAAGACCACCACAAAGAGACCCTCGCTCATGCCTTAGTCTTATTCGAAAACAAAAGCGGATGGACCTTCCTCAAGAAAAAAGCCAATCTGATTTCGGGGGGCATGTAGGCGGAGAAAGGGTGGGAAACTATAAGGTCTCGTAGGAAAAAGACAAAACGTAGGTAGGCTGCCACGCAGAGTGAGGGTTACTAGCCAATTCCCCATGGTCTAGTAAACTAAGGTGGTAGTGTAGACAAGGTTAATTAACTCTGGGATTGGTAGTGTCGTCTGCTCTGACGTCGGAATAATCATTATAATACGATGATAGCACCTGATTAGCAAAAAATTCCCAGCTCTCCTCTTAGCAATGATCTGTCTAGGGCTACTTTCTAAACTGCGGATTCTGTAATAAGACCCTATTCATGGGCATTCTCCGACTTAGAATCGAATTCATACCCGGCAATCTACGATCTACCCAGTGCCTTAGTCTATGTTGAATCGGTATACCCGAGTTCCAGCTAATTGTCAAATAAAGCTATCCGTGCTTAAATTCCTTGCTTGAAAGCATTCTTTGAAGCAAAAATTCCAGTAAATTAAGCTTGCGTAGAATACTTAACTTTTCCATGTGCAAGACCACAAAAAGTATTACCCCCTAAAGCTCAGCTCTGCGAAGGCCTTTCGGAGATTGACCTTTCATTCTCTTCTTCCCGGTCTTATCGGTCAAGCTCTCGTAATCGATCGCTCATATGTCCATTTCATTCTTGCTAGCAAAGTCGGGATATTCTACGTTTAATGAAAAATAGTAAAGTTATGAACTCAAGCTAGCAAAAAACAAGACTGAGGTCGATAGGGGCATTACTGGTAATTGCTAAGGTGCTTTCTGAGGTCTTAACCATTGGCTAGCCCTCATCTCCAGCTCTGTTTCCAACCTTTCATTTCATATATCCTTCCCGTATGCAATACCTCTTATTAAATCTTTCTATATGTCCAAGCCTTCTCCCATCGGTAGTTGGAAGCAGAACTGAAACTGGATATAACTGAAGGAAAGGCTATATAGGTACGATAGGAGGGTACAGTTAAGTAGGTAAGCGAAGGCTCTCTTTCTCGCTCTGTGGTCTTGTGTAAAGCCTTTCCGCCTATCTATTCTTTTTTTTCTCTTTATTCAAAGTAAGCAGATCGAAATCACGAAAAAGAATGTCTTAGCATCCCCTTACTCTAATTCGAAATACGTCTCTTTCTTTCTATTCAAATTCCTCTCCCTTCATTCCTCGATCCGCTTGTAAATTCTTGGTGTAATACCCACTCGTAAATGATTGGTGTAAGAATTTCTCACTAATCAGGTGTGATCAGTCTCATCCATGTAAGAATTAGGAATTCCTCTTCAAAATCATCCCAGAATGGGCGTTATGGTAAAGAACAAGAAGAAAACTAAAGGAGAAATTTGTCCAATGGTAACAAAGGGTGCATCCACAGGTTGACATCCGATCCAACCTAGTAGTAAGCAATCTGCCAAAAGCGACACCTTGGTGAATCGGGCGAAAACTTGAACTACGTACATACATACTTTTGAAAAAAGGTAAAGCCAACAGACATATAAAAACTGGTGCTATTGCGGCTACACCTCCCGATTTGTCAGGTATACTACGAAGAATGGCATGGATCGGTAGGACATACCATTCTGGCACAATATGAGGCGGGGTGGACATCGGATTAGCAGGTATATAATTGTCGGGATTCCCTAAAACATTAGGAGCATAAAAAATCCAAATGGAAAAAAAGATAGCAAAAGCTACCCAACCTACTAGATCCTTTACATAAAAATAAGGGTAAGAAGCAATTTTATACATCTCTGAATGTACACCCAATGGATTATTGGATCCATATTAATGCAATGCGGCCAGATGAAGAAGACTGGCGCCTACTAAAATAAAGGGGAGTAAATGATGAAGACTAAAAAAATGATTTAAGGTGGCATTGTCCACGGAGAACCCACCCCAAAGCCAAGTCACTATGGTATCTCCTACTACAGGTATGGCGCTATCTAAGCTTGTGATTACTATAGCTCCCCAAAAGCTCATCTGACCCCAAGGTAGTACATATCCAATAAAAGCTGTCACAATCATTAATAGGAAGATTACAAATCCGAGACACCGAACAAATTCCCTAGGACTACTATAACTGGCATGATATAGACCACGAAAAATATGTAGGTGAACCACAATGAAAAACATACTTGCCCCATTAGCATGCATATAACGGAGCAACCAGCCCCCTTCAACATCTCTCATAATGTGTTCTACGCTATTGAAAGCTAGATCCACATGAGGTGTGTAATGCATAGCTAAAAAAACACCAGTCACTATCTGAATGACTAAACAAATACCCGCTAACGAACCGAACCCCCACCAATAACTAAGATTGCTCGGGGTTGGATAATCTATCAAATGCTTATTAAGTGTGGAGGATATAGGTTGTTTAAGAAGAGAGAGTCGTTGGTTCCTTATAGTCATTTCTTTTTTTTTCTCTTTTCTATCGTGACAACTCTTGTTCCCCCAAATTTTAGCATTCTGGGGCCCTACTATGTATTAAAATGTGAGTACCCTTTCTTCCACCTCCGAAGGATGGAGGGGGTATACAGCGAAAAAAGAGTCGAAGGGGTCGGATCACCCTGGGTTACTAAAGAGTGGTCTGACTTCTCGATGACCGAATAAGAGAGGTTTTTACCGCTTTCTCTTCTCTCCAGCACTCTCGGACTGATCATCTTGCTGCAACAAAGCAAGCTTAGGAATGAATCTAATGGAAATTTAGGTCTCTGTCCGCTTGGAAGATTATTCTTTCCTCCTCGGCGAAAGAGGGCAAAAAGGGTGTGTGGGAGAAAGAATTCAAAAAGGAGAGAAGATTTCATCCACCAAGCGGGAAAGAGTGTGAACCCTAAGCAATTGGGGGTTCTCGCTCATG